TATAAGCGAGTTTGTAAAAGGGGGCGCGGCACATCCCATAGGCGCGGAATTTTTTATCAGCTATAACTTCGGAACCATAAGTCACACGAACTTGAAATTTGGTATGCAGACATATCAATGGTAGGTGCTTATAGGAGGGTATATATAAACGAGTTTGTAAAAGGGCGCGAGGCACTCCCATAGCCGCGGAATTTTTTATCAGCTATAACTTCGGAATCGTAAGTCACACGAACTTGAAATTTGGTATGCAGACATACCAATGGTAGGTGCTAATAGGAGGGTATATATAAGTGAGTTTTTAAAAGGGGGCGTGGCACATCCTATAGGCGCGGAATTTTTTATCAGCTATAACTTCGGAACCATAAGTCACACGAACTTGAAATTTGGTATGCAGACATACCTATGGTAGGTGCTAATAGGAGGGTATATATAAGTGAGTTTTTAAAAGGGGGCGTGGCACATCCTATAGGCGCGGAATTTTTTATCAGCTATAACTTCGGAACCATAAGTCACACGAACTTGAAATTTGGTATGCAGACATAACAATGGTAGGTGCTTATAGGAGCGTATATATAAATGAGTTTGTAAAAGAGGGCGTGGCACAACCCATAGGCGTGGAATTTTTTATAAGCTATAACTTCGGAACCATAAGTCACACGAACTTGAAATTTGGTATGCAGACATACCAACGGTGGGTGCTTATAGGAGGGTATATATAAAAGAGTTTGTAAAAGGGGGCGTGGCACATCACATAGGCGCGGAATTTTTTATCAGCTATAACTATAACGCCAAACGGCATTATACATAAACGGTATAAAATTACATAGAGGATGAAAACACTAAGTAAATATGAAGAGAGTTTACAATATTTCGTTGCACAGACATGTGTATCAATAAATTTATTTATTTTTGTTAAGAGAAAATATGATTTTTGATGTTACGGATAAAAGCGCTGTATGTGCCTCCATAGAAATCTAAATCTATATGTAGCGAGTTTACAAGGTTGACTATCCTATTTCGTGGGCAATGGATCATATAGTTTTTGTTAAACATAGTTGTTTTCAGTAATCGACTTCGTCTAAGGGTTAATCCAGATGGTGCTAATTCGAAGCAGCTGTGTATGTCATGAGCATCGATGATACCATTTACCACCTTGTAGAAGAAGGTCAAATCCGCAATCTTTCGTCTATCTGACAGGCTTTTGATTCGGTAAAGTTTGTATATATCTTCTGTGGTGCGTGCGTAACTTAGTGAGGTATTGCGGAAAGCCAGGGTTTTGCACAACTTACGTCGTACTTTTTCGACACGA